TATATATTCTTGGATATATAATATATTCTTGATAATACCTGTTGTTGTGTATATCATTGAGTAGGAACAAACTAATAGCTGGCCTTTCAGCGGGTTTGCAGAGGCAGTAATCACACGGAAGGAGATTGCCCATCCTTCTCTTGTGGAGCAGCTGGTGGATTTGAACCACAGAACAGTAAAATTTTCCCACTTCCAAATAAAACTGATTACATAGTTAATCACTCAGTTAGATGGGAGATAGAAGGGTGACTTGAAGCTTTAGTTGAAATGTTGGTGGAGTCTAAATTCTTTTAAATTGAAGTATAATGAAATAGACCAATTCATCATTGAAATATACCAATCTTAAGAGTAGAATTATATTAGTTGTGAGCTGTATAACCAATATTCCAGTCAAGAGAGAGAACATTTCTGTCACCCCCCCAAGTCTCTTATTTATGAGTGCTGAGTTTTTTAATTTTATATATAATCCTGAAGTCCCCTTTCCCTTCTTATTTCAACCCATACAGACCTCACTTTCTCTGGGTGATTGCCCAACTGGTTAGGGTCTATGTATCCTGACTCCTCTGGCAGTCTTCCTCAAGTCTGTCTGTTCAGCTCTAACTCTGCTCCTTTGTACAAGTAACATCCACATTGTTTTGTCAGTTTGAGATCACACTGTTTTTCTAATTCTTTTTTTTCCCCCCTTCAAAGCTGTCTGTTCTGTGCCAGTGGACAACAGGAATCACAATGAGGAAATGGTAAGTCAAAATATGTCTTCACCTAGACTGAATTCTCCTGCTCACTGATCTACCATTCAAACCACCCCTGACAATAATAGGCTTACAAGTCCATAAATTCAACCCTAAGGCTATGGAAATGAAGGGTGCCCTTCATGTCTGGGATCCCACATCCCTCCTGGATGTTTTCATGACCTCAAGAATAACTGTGTCACCACACATCTTTTCTTCAAAATACATTCCTAAATGGGTGTTTATTTGCTTTCTCAGGGTACCCTCAAACCAGCAATTTCTTGCACTGTTGTGTGTAGAGGCGCCCCCTTTTGGTCTTCATGTATTGGCTAGTTCTTTGCTGTCCTGGACCTTGTGCCCTGTGTATTCTGCATCTGCTCAGGCCGCAGAATCAAGTCTCTCTTCCAGCAGTTCTGGGTGGACAAGATGCCCCCAAGGCCTCCAGCTTCTGCAAACTTTCTTTTGCGTTTTTCCTCAGGTGGCTCAATGCATCATCGAAGTCCTTTCAAATGCTCTGTCAAAGTCCAGCGCTCCACCCATCACTCCAGAGTGCCGCCAAATCCTGAAGAAAAGTAAGCATCCGCACTGCAGACAGTCCTGTGTTCCTGCAAGGATTCTTGCCGCTGCTCCCTCCACGCCCCTTTCCACTTTGCTTCCAAATAGACTTAAGGGCATAATATAGAAGAAAGGATATTAACTAGCTGACTAGATAGAAAATGTGACTCCCAGTCCATGTTGTTGTTGTTATGTGCTGTTGACTCACTTGCGACTCATAGCGACCCTAGGTATAACAGCTCTGAACCCTGCTCTATCCTGAGCCAATCTTATTGTCTCTGAGACACCTACCCCCATAACCCCAGTCACTGAATCAATCCATCTCATCGAGGGCCTTCCCCTCCTGTACTGTCCCCTCCACCCTCCCAAACATGATGTCCCTCTCCAAGGACTGGTCATATGCCAAAAGTATGTCAGACGGGGCTTCAGAATCCTTGCCTCAAAGAAGCAGGCTGGTTTCACCCTCTCTAATATAAACCTGTTTGGCTCTCCTAGAGGCCCATGGTATATTCAGTGCTCTTCTCCAGCACCACAGCTTAAAGGCTGGTGACCCTGCAGAAGAACCCTTGCTTCTCTGGGCCTGTTTCTTTAAATTAAAATGAGGGGACAGTACTTGATGATGAACTTCAAAGGACAAGTCAGAGGACACATGTCTATAAAGACTCTGGAAATATTATACTCAGTGAGTAATAGAATGCTGAGATGAGGCAGGCTAAAGGGTTCCCCTGGGGCTGCAGATTCACAGGCCAGCCAGATCACATAATGGAATAGGGCAGGACAGTAAGTGACTCCCAACTGGAGGGCATGTGCCCTTCCTGAGAGAGAACAGATATTCCTCAGTTCTCACTATTGTGAAGAAATAGAACCTGTGTTCAGATTTTTCAGAAGTTACAAATACCTGTTTTCCTTTTTATTATTTTCATTTTGTAATGGGTGTGTGTGTGTGTGTGAGAGAGAGAGAGAGAATGTGATTTGAGTGAAAGTTTATAAAGCGTAAGTTGCTCCTTGGAGGCAAGGATTGCGAAGCTCTGTCTCACATACTTTTGGCATGTTGCCAGGAGGGACCAGTCCTTGGAGATGGACAGCATGCTTGGAAGGGTGGAGGGACAGTGCAAGAGAAGAAGACCCTCGACGAGATGGATTGACTCAGTGACTGGAGTAATGGGGGTAGTTGTGTCAGAGGCTCAGGATTAGGGCAGGGTTCAGAGCTATTATGTATAGGGTCGTGGTGAGTCATAGTCGACTTGATGGCACATAACAACAACAAGATTTTAAGTTATGTTTTCTAGTATATAAATCAGAGAGCTTTGGTGGTTTAGTGATAGGGAGCCGCAACACCACACAGGAGACTGCCTGTCTTTCTCCCACAGAGCAACCCAAAGGTACGTGGTTCCAATCCACCAGGTGCTCTGTGGGAGAAGGTTAGGCAGTCTCCTCCTGTGTGGTATTGTTGTGTTGTTGGGTACCACTAAGTTGGAACTGACCCATAGCTGACCCTCCAGGAGGCTTTCAGGGGCCTTGCACTGGAGGAAATTACCCATTCTTCTCCCCCGGAGAAGCTGTTGGATTAGAACAGTGTGCCTTTGGGATTGCAGTGCAGATTCTTACCACTAGGCCACCACAGCTCCCTCAGTAGGCTATTACAGGGATGAATTTAGAGGCAACATTTATACAATTACTATGACACTGTAGATAGCCAAAGTTGTAAATTGTTGTTGTGTGTCATCGGGTCAGAATAGATCCATAGCTGACCTTCTGGCAGGTTTTAAGAGAGTAAATCACATGAGAGGAGATTGCCCATCCTCCTTCCACAAAGCACCTGGTGAATTTGAACCATGTGCCTTTGGGATTTCAGCACAGCTTCTTGCCACTAGGCTACCAGAGCTCTGTAAAGTTGTAAATTATTTTAATTATTTTATTTAAGAGGGAAAGGAAAATGTCTTCAATTACTACTGCACTTCTTATAAAATCATTCATGATTCTTTTTGGTGAGTTTACAAATTAGTTGAAGTTAAGAGGAAAGATCACACAGTGTCAAGGTGTCTTTCATCCCTCGGCCTCTGGATTTAGAAAGGAATGTTAAGAGACACTTTGTCTGATTGCTCCTGAAAAGATCCCACACCTGCAGCAGCCATATATCTCCACAGTATTCTGACCCAGGGGTGTTCTCCATTAATATGGAAGACAGCACTCTCTTGTTCATTTTCCCCATATCCAACTCACTGTGTAGTTTTCCGTTCTTTTCTGAGATCCACGAACTGCCTCTGAGAACCCACTGGAGGGTCAGCTGTGGGTCACTTCTGACTCAACGGGATACAACAGCAACAGTATCTAACGATTTCCTTCCAATTTCTTTAAAATTTAAAAACATTTTTTAGGCCAATCAAAACTCACCTCTGGGTGACCAGTTTGCAGCTTGGTCCTATTTTTATTTTCTCACTGCTGCTCACAGGTCTTCTTAGAAGAAGGTGCAGCATTTAGTCGGATAGATTCATGAATTCCATTGTGTGACCTTCCTCCCACGACATTCCATTACCATTCCTACTTTCTTGGGCCAGCGGCTACTTAATGAGTAAATGGACATTGTGAGGGTAGGAAGAATCACCACGTTTTATGGCAAGCCTAAAGAAATCATAGGGAACATATGGTCTAACTTCTGAGAGAACAAGAATCAATCCCTTTGGGAGCTCTGGTGGCCTAGTGGCAAGAAGCTGCACTGCCATCCCAGAGGTACGCAGTTTGAATCCACCAGATGCTCTGCTGGAGAAGGAGGGGCAATCTCCTCCTGTACCAGTCAGATACGATTTGATAGCACACACAAAAAAAATAATAAATTTTTTTAAAAAAGAATCAATCCCTTTGGCCAAGCTTTATAGCATGAAAATTAGGGATGGACATACATTTCCCTTTCTTTTCACTTGAGTTAGGATGAGGGTACATTTCTTTTTATTATTTGAAAGTAAAAATGAGCATCACATTTTACAGATTGAGATGACTGTGTCACTAATGACAGCCCTTCCGGGGGGTGTAAGCCAAATTTAGCAGGAAGTACTAAGCCTTAAAGCACAAGATGCTAAGTCTTCATTAAAGTTAACTAACTACATACTACTAAATACATACATACATATACTTCTGTTGAGAACACTTGTGGCCCATGTAAGGGGTCACTCAGCCTCTGACTTTGGAAGCCAATTCCTTTCTGATTGGCTCTTTCGGCTGCCTCTTGGAATGACATCACATCCGCCCAAAACCTCCTTGCCTTACCCTTGTCTACTGAATAGCCTCACCTCATTGCAGGACACACAGCTACTATTACACCAGAGGAAAAGGAGCTGGTAATGGGTGTTCCCCTTTAGATGCCTGGGTTGAAAGATGAAAATCTCGTTTCCTTGAAATACATGAAAATGTTAGCATGCCAGTTTGGACTCTAAGCAGAGAGGAACATACATGGAGCCACTCTTTTAGGGCATCTTTACAAAAGAAACCAATTATTTCTCTCCATTTTACAAATATTCATTCAAGATGGCCAACTGACTGGAAGAGATCCTTATTTGTTCCCATTCCAAAGAAAGGTGACCCAACAGAGTGCGTAAATGAACAAACAATATCAATATCACATGAAAGCAAGATTCCTCTGAAAATGATCCCAAAATGACTGGAACAACACATCAACCGAGAAGTGCCAGATGTACAGCCTGGGTTTAGAAGAGGCTGTGGTACTAGAGATAGTATAGTTAATGTTAGATGGATCTTGGCTGAAAGCAGAGAGCACCAGAGGAATGTCTATCTGTGTTTTAGTGACTGTGCAAAGGCATTTGACTGTGTGAATCACAATAAATTGTGGCTGACTCTGGGGAAAAATGGGAATACAGAACACTTGAACCTATACTTGGACTAGGAGGCAGTCATCATCTTCAGAACAGAGCAAGGAAACACTGCATAGTTTAAAATCAAGAAGGGTCTATGCCAGGGTTTGTCTCCGTACCTTTTCAATCTATATGTGGAACAGATCATTTGGGAGGCTGGGGTCTATGAGAGGGAATGTGGCATCTGGAGTAGAGAAAGACTCATCAAAAACCTCCATTATGCAGATGATGCAACCTTGCCTGCTAAAATTGAGGAGGACCTGAAGCACTTACTGCAGAAGGGCAAGGACTGCAGCCTTCAATAATGCAATAGCCTTGAAGTGAAACATCAAGAAAACAAAGATTCTCACCACTGGGCCAATTGGCAACATCATTATGGAAAAGATTGAGATTGTTAACAGCTTTAGTTTGTTTGACTTCACAGTCAACACTCTTGGTACCAGCAGCCAGGAAATCAAAAGACAAATTGCATTGGAAAAATCTGCTGTCAGGGACCTCTCCAGATTACTGAGGTGCAGTGATGTCAGTCTGGAGACTAAGGTGCGCCTGATCCAGGCCATGATCTTCGCAGTTACTTGCTATACATCAGAAACAAGGACAAAGACTACGTGTGATAGGAGAGTTGATGCCGTTAAGCTGTGGTGCTGGAGAAGAGTATTGAATAGACCCTGGAATTCTAAGAGGGAGTGAAACCAGGCTGCTCCGTGGAGGCAAGGATTTTGAAGCTCTGTCTAGCATACTTTGGGCATGTTGCAAAGTGTGACCAGTCCTTGGAGAGGGACATCATGTTTGGATAGTAGAGGGACAGTCGCAGTGACCTGGGAAATGGGGGTAGGTGTGTCAGAGACACTTAACTTTGGCTTAAGACAGCAGCGTTCAGAGCAGTTGAACAAAGGGTTGCCATGAGTCACAAGTGACTCGACAGCACATAACAACAATTGATATAACCACCACTTGTCTGTAGGTTTGCTGTGCAGTTGTGATTTGCATGGAGCTGAGATGTTGGACACTCTACCACCAGTGTTTCAAATATAAGCAGGGTCCCTCGTGGTGTACAGGTTTCAGTAGAGCTTTGAGACTAAAAAGCAAGACTGACTGGCCTTCCACCTCTGAAATAACAGGCCCTTGAAAACCTTATGACAGCAGTAGAATGTTGTTTAGTATGATGCTGGATCAGTCCCTCCAGTTGGAAGGCACTCAAAGTGCAACTGGGGAAGAATTACCTTCTGTATTAGTAGTTGTTAGGTGCCATCAAGTCACCTACAACTCATAGCGACCTTATTAACAACAGATCTGAACCTTGCCCTATCCTGTGCCATCCTCACCATTTCTGATATACTTGATACTGTGTCAGTCACTGTGTCAGCCCATCTTGTTGAGAGTCTTCCTCTTTCACTGATCCCTTACCTTTCCCAGGATAATGTCTTTTTCCAAAAACTGGCCCTTCCCAACAACAGGCACAAAGTATGTGAGATGAGGTATCACCATCCTTGCCTCTAAGCACCTTGGTCAGCAATCTATGGAATAGTCAGTACTCTTCTCCAGAACCACAACTCAAAGGCATCGATTCTTCTTCTGTCATTCTTAGTCACTGTCCAATTTTCAGATGCATAGCAAGTAACTGAAAAGACTAAGGCTTGATTAGTACACTTTACTCTTGAAACTGACCTCATTACTCTTTAGCACTTTGGAAAGGTCCTTAACAACAGATTCTCCCAATGCAACAAGTCTTTTGATTTATTCACTGGTACCAAGTATGTGGATTGTGGATCCAAGTAAGGTGAAATTGCTGACAATGTCAATCTTTTTTTCCATCTATCATGATGATGCCTATTGATTCAGTGGTGAGGATTTTTGTTTTCTTGGTGTTGAGATGTGATTCACATTGAAGGTGGTAGTCTTTGACTTTTTGCAGCAAGAGTTTCAAGTCCTATGGCTTTCTGCAAGCAAGGCTGTATCATCTGCATAAGGTGGTTGTTGATAAGGCTTTCTCAAATCCTGATGCTACATTGTTCTTTATTTAGTCCAACTGTGGCAATGATTGAATAGGTATGAAGAAAGTATAATATTTGGACTACAAAAATGGGCTTGAGGCAGGCTCTGGTGGCCTAGTGGCAAGAAGCTACACTGCAATTCCAGAGGTGCACGATTCAAATCCACCAGATGCTCTGCTGGAGAAGGAGGGGCAATCTCCTCCTGTACCAGTCAGATCCGATTTGACAGTACATGCACACACACAAAAAGAATAAGGAGGAGGGTAGAGAAAATAGTGCAACAATGAATGAATGGAAACCCAAAATCTCTGTAAATGTTCATTGACATTAATAAAATTTAATAATAAAAAAAAACCAAAATGGGCTGGAGCATGGCAGAGACTGTGAGAATAGCACAAGATAGGGCAAGGTTTAGATCTTTTGTGCATAGGGTTGCTGAGAATCATAATTGACTTAACAGCACTTAACAACAACAAATCGATCTAACAATTGCTGAGCTAATTTCAATTTTTTTTCTTTTTCATTTAAAGTCTTCAATTCCGGTGTGTATCTTATACTTATTTCGGTTTGGACAATTCAGATTTCAGATGCTTAATAGGCACAAAGGGCTGAAGACCCTCTTTATGGACAGCAGAGTTGTAGACCCAGAATAAGCTGAGCATCAGGCTTCCTACTTGATCTCAGTGACCTAAGTGGACATCCAAGACCTCCCAACTGGCAACTCAAACTTCTAGCTGCATATCTCCTTTTATGGGGCACTCTTTAGCCAAGGAAAATGTAGTAAATGAATTATCAACCTTTGGAAAAAAGTTGGGGAGAAAGCTATTTATTAAAGTATCACTTGTGACATTTTCTGTTGAGTCATGAAACATGAAGATACTTCAGAATATTGAAGGGCATCCTTCTTCATGAGCATCTGAGAAGACAGTGGATGAACAGGACCTGGATGAAGGTCATTGTGCCATTTTCTCAGTGAAGAAATTTCCCCTCCAGATGGCTTTCACTGTCATGGTCACTACTGTTAGACTGATCCTACACAGTTGATGTAGATTAGATTATAAATACTAATTTTTTAAATACACACATATTCTGAAATATCCTGTTTTGGCTTAATGTGTATAGCTGGAACCAGTCATGCTAGTTCACTTTTCAACTACTACTTAAGGTGAATATGGAAAGAATGATCTAGAATTACACTTCTTTGATCCTTATCTGCAAAAAGAGAAGTCTGAGCTGAATATATCCTAAGCTTTCTTTGTCTTCTAGGTGGTAACATTGCATAAATACACTCCTAGATTTCATTTTTATTATTTTTGTTTGTTTTTCTTGTTTTGTATAATCAAATCAAATCCGACTGGTTCAGGAGGAGATTGCCCCACTTTCTGCAGCAGAGCATCTGGTGGATTCAAATCTTGCACCTTCAGGATTGTAGTGCAGGTTCTTGCCACTAGACCACCAGAGCTCCCTTCATTTTGATCCTTGATGGTGGTTGTTACACTGCCAAGTAAGTTCTGGCTCATAGTGGTTCTATGTACAACAGAACAGGATGAAAGGTGTGGGTTGTATACTATGAAAATACAAAGATTTGTGTTTATTGTTAGAATTAATCATAGCCAAGAAAACTTTAAGTCCTTTGTTTTTCCAAAGGAATCTGAGTAAATTATAACCTAATTTATATAACCTAAAAAAACTACCTAGGGAGACTCCGGTGGCCTAGTGGCAAGGAGCTGCACTGTAATCCCAGAGATACGCAGTTTGAATCCATCAGATGCTCTGTTAGAGAAGGAGGGACAATCTTCACCTGTACCAGTCAGATCCGATTTGACGGTACACACACACAAAAATAATAAAATAAAAAAAAGAAATGGCTTTTCCTTTAAAAAAAAGAACAAAAACAAAACTACCCAGGGAGCTCTGGTATTCTAGTGGCAAGAAATTGCACTGCAATCCCAAAGGTGCACAGTTGGAATCCACCAGATGCTCTGCTGGAGAAGGAGGGGCAATCTCCTCCTGTACCAGTCAGATCTGATTTGAGGGTACACAGCAAGGAAAGAAAGACAAACTACCCAGGCAACTTTTAGTGTTTTGGGTAGTATGGTTTTATTTAGGGCTTATATAGGCTGGTATTTGTGGAACTACATGAGTGTGAAGACAATACTTACTCTTTTGTATTTTTATTCTAGGTGGAAAAGAGATTAAAGATGAAGACAAAAGTGAAAATGACAACAAAAAGTTTGAAGTAAGATTGTTAAGAGACTCAGCTGACACATTCGAGGCCCACACACCTTCAGGTGGGGAGGAAGTGAGAGCCCCCAAGGGTGAAGACAGCCAAGACCTAGCAAAGAAAAACAAAGAGAAGTGGGCACCGGAGGGTGGGCACAGCAGAGAAGAGGCAGGAGAGCCCCAACGGATCCTTTATCCCTCCGAGGGTCAAGAAGCAAAGACACACTTTCCTAAAAAGAGCAAGGAAGAGGACAAGGGGAAAGAGGAAGAAGAGAAATCCCAGAAAAGGGAGCAGAGGGGAGACAGCAGTGAGGAGAGGCACCTTGGCAAGTCAGAAGAGACACAAAGTACCTTTCTCAACAAACGAAACCAAGCAGCAGTTAAAGAGCAGTCAGTGAGTAGGTATGACAAAGAGTCTGCAAGACACTTGGAAGAAGAGACACACAGCCGGGAGGAGACACACAGCCGGGAGAACGGTCAGGAGAGTCAAGAGATGGACAGGAGCCAGGAGAACTGGCCCCAAGAGTCTGAAAGCCAGCCGGGAAGCCGAGAAGCATCGGAGGAGAGTGAGGAAGACACCAGCTCTGAGCTGACCAAACGCCGCCTGAGGCCCAGACACCACCATGGGAGGAGCAGACCTGACAGGTCCTCCCAGGAAGGGAAGGCTCCCTCTGGGGAAAAGAGACCTTCCCCTGAGAGGTCTGAGGAGTCAAACGTGGGGATGGCCGGTGTAGGGGAAAAGAGGGACCATCACGCACCCCACTCCAGGGCTTCAGAGGAAGAACCTGACTACGCAGAAGAAAGACATCCCAATGTCCAGGCTCCTGAGGACCTGGGAGGGGAGCAACATGGAGGCAGAGGGAGTGAGGAGTACCGGGTACCAAGGCCTCACCTCGAGGAGAGTCAGGAGGAGGACAAGAGACGTGGCCCCAGCTCTGAGCTTGATGACATGGGGCATGGCTATGAGGAGGGAAGTGAGGAGGAAAGGGGCTATGCAGAGAGAAGGGGACACCACAGAGGCAGGGGAGGGAAGCCAGGTGCTAATTCTGCCCCTGACACCAGAGAGGAGAAGAGGTTTTTGGGAGAAGGATACTACCACGTTAAAGAAAGCCAGGTGGACAAGGCAAAGAGGTACACCCCGCGTGAGTGGGATGAGGAGGACAGAAGTTACCTCGGCTATGGCAGGGGGGATGGTGAAGGAGCCCAAGGCAAGTGGCAGCAGCAGCAGGAGGACCTGCAAGACACTGAGGACAACAGAGGCGCAGCTCGCCTTCAAGACAAGCCGCCTGCTTCCCACCGGGACAAGAGGAAGCGGTTAGAGGAGCTGCTCAACCCATACTATGATCCTACCCAGTGGAAGAGCAGCCGCTTTGAGAGAAAGGACAACGTGGATGACGATTTTCTTGAGGGTGATGAGGAGAATGGGTTGACTTTCAATGAGAGAAGTTTCTTCCCAGAATACAACTACGAGTGGTGGGAGAGAAAACCCTTTGTGGAGGACATGAACTGGGGCTATGAGAAGAGAAACCTAGCGAGGCCCCCCAAGCTGGATCTGAAAAGGCAGTACGACAGAGTGGCCGAGCTGGACCAGCTCCTTCACTACAGGAAGAAGGCAGCAGAATTCCCAGACTTCTATGACTCTGACGATCAGCTGACCACACGCCAGGCAGCAGAAGACGAGAGGGACCGCGTGGACCAGAGAGTTCTAACAGAGGAAGAGGTACAGTCTGGGGCTTTTTTTTGCAATTAACTTAAAATGGTCCGTGTTAATAACGGACACCCAAGACAGCAATGGGCAAATAGTGGGGAGGATGAACTCATCATGAGAAAGCACCCCAAAGAGTGAAGACTGCCTCTGGGATTGATTTCCAGCAGTTGTTCACATACTCGCCTCTCCCTCATGCAGTGGTTTGCAATCCTGGCTGTGCATCTGAATCACCCAGGGAGCGTGAAAAACCAAATTGGTGTCTGGAGCCTATCCCTTAATTGGGACTCTGTGCTGCCTGGCCGGCAGGATTTTAACGTTTCCAGATGACTCCAATTGTTTACCTAAGGTTGACAACTCCTGATCTGGAGCTTTCTCCTTGCTTCTATGATTATGCATCAGAGTTTCCTAGGGCGGGAGAGCAATGATAAAGAAATTCCTTGTTTTGCTCTATTGCTGAGGGGCTCTGTTGCCACTTGGCTGTTAACTGGAAGGGCAGCAGTTGTAACCCAGGAAGCACTCTGTGGGAAAAGACGTGGCCTTCTGCTTTCACAAAGATGGCAGCCTTCGAAACACCATGGGGCAGTTCTGCTTTGTCCTGTGGGGTTACTATGAGGCAAAATGTATTTGGAAGTTTTGGGCTTGGTTTGAGATTGTGTTTCCCCCCCTCCTTGCAAGTTCAAAAAAAAGGAGCTATTCAAACTTGATGACAATCAGAAATTTAAATCTGAAAGCAATAACATTATCAGAGCTTTATCTGCTCAGTTTCTTCCCCTGATATTTTGTAGGTCAACGCATCTCAAAGTTGAATGTGTATCTGACTTACATGGTTAAAAGCTCAATTCCCAGACCCCAGGGTTTCTGATTCGTCACCTCTGGGCCAAGAATCTGCATTTCTATCAAGTTCCACAATGATGCTGACCTAAAATTCCCTTTTCTGTTCATATTTCTTTAAACTGACACAGGATCTCATGCCTTGACTCTGTTATTTTCCAGCAAAGAGAACTTGAAAACTTGGCTGCGATGGATCTGGAACTGCAGAAAATAGCTGAGAAGTTCAGTGGTAACCGCAGGGGCTGATGGACCTCGGAGTACCCAGCAAGTTTACTAAGCAGTCCTCTTCAGCACTTCACTGAAAGGCATCATTTCTTTACCCAGAGTCAGAAAGTAGATAGACTCTACTATCTATTAAATATATGACACAATTGAAAATGTCTTTGATATTTTGCCAGAATGCTGTTGAAATGAATAGCATGACTTGTAGTATATATTCTTGCGAAACAGACATATTACTATGCTTGTGACAATGACTGTGATACTTAACTGTCCTTGAAAAAAAAATATCTATTTCAGTTTGAAATAATAAAAGATTCACTTGAGACCAAGAGTGTCATGTGTTCTCCACTTCTTTGGGGCTGAGAGGGATGCAAAACCATCCTTTCAAGTCACTTCTAAAAGATGGCACTGGGATTTACTTATCTTTTGAATGCAGGGGAGAAAATGGAAATCATTTGGAGTAAAAGACTGTGCCAGATATAAAGAGGAAGAGGGAAGGGAAAGACCGCTGCTCCAAGATGGAGAGAGATTACAGAGGCTTAAAAAAGAAGTTAAGAAAGCAATAAAAGGTGAGCTCTGGTGGCCTAGTGGCAAGAAGCTGCACTGCAATCCCAGAAGTGAGCGGTTCAAATCTACCAGATGCTCTGCTGGAGAAGGAGGGACAATCTCCTCCTGTACCAGTCAGATCCGATTTCACTCACTCACTCACACACACACACACACACACACACACACACACACGCGCAAGAAAAAAGCAGCAGCAATCAGGAGACATTACTTTCTAGAGGGTCATTTTTCAGAATTGAGACAGGGAAACAAGTCTAGATACTGGAGGGGGGGGGGGGACCAAAACAACAATCCTACATAATGGACTGGGAATCAGCACATTTGGACTGGTCCAGACCAATCACTGGACCTTCAGACCCTGTCTCATTTCTTCCCTATAAGGAACTCTCATTTCATTAGTAATCAGCTGTGTAACTTCGAGCAAGTTACTTTCCTCTCTGGGTTCATCAGTAAAATGGGGACACTCCTGTCACTGGGTTCTTAGGGTTTAATACGTGGTGACATCAAACCCAATGCCATGGACTCCTACGGACCGTGTAGAACAGAGCAGAACTGCCCGACAGGGTTTCTAAGGCTGTGAATATTCACAGAAGCAGACAGTTTCATCTGTCTCCTGTACAGCAGATGGATTCAAACTGTTGACCTTTTGGTTAGCAGTCAGGACCTTAACTTGTGTGCCACCAGGGTTCCTTGAAAAATTATACTGGCCGATCTTATCCATCCAGCTCCTTATGGCAAGGCAGCTGGGCAGTTTCACCATCTTTCTAATCCAAACCAACAACAGAGACATCCCAAAAGTGGGGTGGGGGGAGTGGGGTAGGGGTGTGAACCAGGAGAGTAGGACCCCAGAAATGGAAAATTATTAGACGTGTTAAAAATATAAAAAACCCAACATACCCTATCACCCAAGAAGAGAATCAGGTGTGACGAATCTGCCAGCCGCTTTGGAAGAATAAGGGTCCCTGGATCTCACATGCCATCTCTTAATTGTTCACCACAGTCCAGTTCCCCATTGTGATGGCGCCAATGTGCTGCCTTTCTGTCCCATTCTTGCAGTTCCTACTATTTTAACAGCCACTTGCTACTTTTCCTTCAAGAACCACATAAAATGTTAAGCTTTGAGGCTACAACTATTTCTTTTTGCCAGTAGCACAAAAGCAGCACAAAATAAGCACTGGGGATATTCAGCCTCTGATCGAAGTTTGTGGTTTTGAATCTCCTGGTTGCTACACTGGAGGATGATGGGCAGTTTCCTCCTGTGAAGATTTATAGCTGCAAAACCTTGATGGAGGGAACTGACTGGGCAGTAGTGGGTTGATTTTTTGTGTTCTAATAAAATTTCAGGGATCTTGAAATTTAACTTTCCCAAGTCACAAAACTGTTCTTTCTTTGCCTGCCCTGACAGCCACTTAAAAATCTACACAAATGGTTCTCAGATTTTTGACTCCTGGGAGAGGTTCTGCAAAGAACAATGGAGCACCTTCCAGTCTTAGTTTTCACATCTCAGCTCAATGCCAAAAGCTCAAGTTACTTTAAAACTGTGACAAAGGGGCCAAAAATCAATTATTTCTTACACTTCAAAGATTATGCCTCTTCTTGGAGAATTGAAAAAGAAATGTTAAAGGAACTGTTATCTACTATTTAAGAAGCTATTCTTAAGACTCACAGCCATCTAATATGTTCTATCTAAGAAAACCTGAAACTTTTTACAGAAATGAATGCACGAGCTCAGATGATGTGGTCTCTGTGCTAACTCAAAAGTGGGGCCTCTCCGTTGGTGTGAGTTCACCAGTGGCTCTGCAGGACAGGCACTCTCCTCCTGTGCAATTTACAGCCTCCAAAAACCAGCTATGACTTGGTTCCGGCTTGACAGCAATGAATTTTGTGTTTTTCTACTCTAGAAGCAATACCGCATTTCAGTTAAAGGTAAGTGCATTCCTTTCTTGCACTGTATTAAATACATTCCAAAAAACCCAAACATTTATAGCAGCAAGGAACTATCAACTTTACAGGAATTTTTGGGGTATTGTAATATTTACAACCAACATTTCAAAGCAAAACGGAGGCATCCTAAATTTTTTTTCAACATTCTTACATGGGATGAGGGGGGAGAAGACTGGGAACAAAGGGATCTCTGAGAGCCTAATGTTGGAGCTGTGCTGCCAATCCAAAGGCACATGGTTTGCATCCACCAGCTGTTCCTAGGGAGTCAGGAGAAAGAGGGGCAATGTCCTCCTGTGTGATTTATGGCTTCTGAAAACCTGCTGGAGGGAGAGCTAAGAGTCCACTCAGACCGGACAGCAATGACTTGAGTTATCCAAGAAAACAATACTCCACTGTGGTGGTTCTATTTACAGCCAATAAATGATTACCTAATAAAATTTGTTTCATACAATTTTATTGTACTTATGCTAGAAAAAATAAGCACTACTATTTCTAAATTCAACAAAGAAATTAAGATGGATGTTACAACTCTTGTGATTGCTACTCACTGTAGTGCCTTTTCATTAACTCTTGAAGGCTGGATGATCAGAAGTCAATTACCCATTCTCTTCTCCCAAGGGTAGATGGCCACTTTACAACCAGAACAGCGACCTTTGCAGCTGATCACATCGTGCAGGTGTAAATCTGATACTGGTTCTCAGTTATGGTCCTCGGCCAGTGGCACCAAAATCGCTTGTTATGTATCATTAAATCAGAACTGACCCTCAGCAGGTTTTCTGAGAGTAAACTGCAAGGGACTCGACTGCCTAACTTTCTCCCATGGAACAGCAGGTGGATCGGAACCATGTCCCTTCGAGTTGGCACCCCTTACCACTAGGCCATCAGAGCTCCCCAAGAATCACTTGGGAAATGCAAATTCTAGGTACACCACAGGCCTGCTGAATCAGAAGTCAAGGATGGGGTCCGTCAAATTGTTCAGCCGGTCTTTTTGGGGGTCCTGGTGCACACTAGACTTCAGGACATGGAACTGACACATATGAAGAGTACTCACAGAGCAAATAAATGGGGGGGGGACCAATTAACTTGCCATTGTGCCAATGAGACGAGTCCACAAATCATTTCCAGTGACAGATAGCTGAGCACGCCAGGGCCTTGGCAGCTCAGGCCCAGACTTCCACCTCAGGAGACTGGCACAAGGATTTGGAGAATAGGATGGGATTTGGAAAGTGGCTGAGCTCTGAGTAGGAGAGAATTCTGGTAACAGTGGCTAGTAGAGATCAGCCACTATTGAAACCTGCCCAGACCTAACGTATTGGATTTTGGACCAAATTGGACTGGCTGCATGTGGGTGACAACCATTCATAATTAATCTCATGTCCAGGGACGAGACAACTGAGATGTATTCTTAATTACAAACCACAATCAGTGGAGAGTCAGTAATGAATCATCATTGATGTAAGTCAACATACCATAGTAGGAAACACTTTTATTCTTCAAAGCAATTAAGAAAAGGGAAAAAAAACTGTACTTGGTTGGTAATTACACTGGCCATTATCAGAATTACATATGCTTACAGGAAAAACAAACCCCATTTCTTTCCAAGATGCTTCTCACTGGATGGCCTCATTTGGTCTAGATAATACACACAGTGAGCCTATTCTACAGGACAAAGGACCCAAATGAGAAAGTGAACTTTTTTTGCTGCAGAAGGAAGGAATTTAAATATATATCATCTCAGGGGGGGAAAGTATATAAAGGCTAACCCCTAGTCATGCCAGAGCTCAAGAGACTAGCATTAATAACCACAAAAAAGGCACTTTTGAAACATCTGACAAGGAGTGACTCAAGTGCATTGAAAATACTAGTCTATGTCAAATTAATATACATCAGTATATCCTCTCAATCATCGTATGTGTATGCCTGTGTATGTATATAATTACACACACACATATATATATAAACATGCACACATATATTTAAAATCATTACATCTTCTTAGAAGGAGAAAAACAAATCCACTTGTGTAGTATTCAATTAAACTCCAATCCAAGTCATTTTATTTGGAACACAGAATAAGAGGACTGGTAAGTTAAAAGAATGCAAATAAATGCATTCTTTTCGGTAAATGCACACAAGTAGGAGAAGAAAGATAGCCTCTTAGGCGCCCGTGTAAAATAAATACTCGGAACTGCCCCAGGTTTGTCCACTATTAAAATGATAAAATGTAGTGTTTTCAAGGAACACATTCCACTGCAGGCAACAGGGTGGGAATTTTTGGTACTGCAAATTTCACACACTCACACACTTATATTGCTTGGATTGATAAAAACAGAAGGAATAGAGGCAGCTTCTTTCACAAACTCTTTTCTGTCAGTACCCCACTAAGTTTTACGAATACCAATACTGTGCATGTTATTCCAGTCTTGTACACATGGTTTTAGGCTGCCTGAATTCTCAGGATTGCCACATGAAGTACCTGGAGGAGTTTTGTTCCACGGGATGTGGCTGGCCATACCTGGCGCATACCCAAGGGCTGGGTATTCTGGCTTGAGGCTGTAACAATGGAACCAGGCTGTCAGAGATGGACAAAAAGGCTTTTGCGTCCTTCCTAAGAACAGGTGTATGGACACATTCTTAGGGTACGAAAAAAAAATCAGTAATGATATTTAAATTTTAATTACTAATTGTATATAAAGCCTGAGAACAAAAACGGAAGCAATTTGTTAAAGGTTACGAGTCTGGCTCTGGGCATTTCCGTTTCTTAGCTGCTGGCTCCTCTGTCTTCTCTGAATCTAAAGTGCTTGTGTTGGGTTTGAGGCTGGTGTCTGCTTTGAGGTTGTCCATGGCAACAGTGAAGCCTGAGAGGAGGTACCCCCCACCTCCGCTCATCAGCAGTTTGGGATGACTCCGATCTGGCAAAACCTAATAAAGACAGAAAGGCACTCAGTAGTCCCGAGCAGACAGAGCACGTGTGACAGCAAGCAGTAAAGCCCACATTCAGATGGCACAGCCTCTCTTCAACACTTTAGGGCCTGACTCCTAATGAGCTCATTCCTCACAGTGTAGATTAGAATAACAGAGGGCTCAGATGATTTTTCTTTTTGGAATTTGAAATGGAAACCCTAGTTCTTTTCAAGCTGAGGCCAGTATCAAGTAGAGAAAAGGTACATTCAGGGTCTCAACAGTGCTCAGGGCTTGTCTCCCACTTTCTTCCTTGGCTGCAGGAAGATTCAAGGCCACAGACGGACTGTGTCGATGGAAAAGCAGCTAGTGGACACATACACACAGCCTCCAGTTTGTATTACCCTGTTAACTGGGACAAGAAGTCTTCTCTCCAGTTGCCATGGCAATGTTAAGATGACATTCCCTTCCTCCTAGCATCCCTCTCAAAAGCACTTGCAGTAGCACAGTCATTATAACCTCGAGCAAATTAAGAGTTGTTACTTGTGCACCTCCCTTAATGAAAGAACTGTCCATGAGGAGATCGGGTGCTGGAAAACCTGCAGCACCTCTGGGATGTGGATTCACATCCTGAGGGGCCAACAGGCTGCTCCCAGGCGGTAAGGGAGCACGGGTACCCGGAATGGATGAGTTCTGTCCAACACTAGACTTCAAAACTGCAGTCTTTGCTCTGGGGCTCTGGCCAGCCTGGCTAACACTGCAGGCTCAGCCTGCTCGCTCTTCTGCATTAGGCCCACATCGTGATCTCAGGGAACTTCCCTACTCTGGCTATCCGTCCTCTGACCTTCCAAGCCATTTCTGCCAGTGTATCTCTTACGCACCTCATTACATCTTGACATAGGCCTCCCAAGAGACCTGAACAGAAACAGCCCACATCAGTAAATCCTGAAAACCTGACACAAAGATTTCCCAGCAGAAAGGAGAGAGCCACACTCTCATTCACCTGAGGATTCTATGATTATCAAGTATTCCTTCTTCAGTGATATTAAGGCCTTGGTGAAATATGATCTGTGACTGTTTACGCATGGTTGATAGGTTCCGGTTTACCCTAAGGGACCAGCGACCCGGGAGAGCTGCCCACTGGAGTGGTGGTCGAGAGAACACATACCTGGTAGTTTCGGAGCCAGGTTTCCGACAGTCTGAGGTTGATGACTCCACCCCTCTCCCGCAGTTTTGTGTAGCACTCCAACAGAGGCTGAGAGCAAAAGCAGTCTTAAGAATCATCTCCTGGGCAATAGGTTAAGAATCAACGTTCAGGTCCAAAACTGCCCCCCCCAAGTCCTTTGGGGGTTTACCTCTTTATACTGACAGTAGACTACAAATGGCCTGGAAGGGGCCACGAAGTCCAGCAATGACAGCAGCAGTGGAATGGGGTGGAAGCGACTGGCCACAATCAAGCTGCAAGGAAAATGACATACATATTATTCTCTGCCCCTTCCAACTGAAGCACGGGTTTTCAAACGCACTTAAAATGATCATGTATTTATGTGCCTGACTCAACAGAAGGGAAAGGACGTAAATAGAACATTCTAGAAATTCAAGCCAGAAAAAAAATTTTAAATATGGCACACTACTCTCCAGGAAATGCAGCCTGAATTATAGACTCGTGGCGCTTAGCAACTCTGAAGTAGCATTTGGCAGCCTCTTTCATTACTCTCAAATCGGCAGTTCCCCACCCTCATGAGACCCAGGCTTCTTTCTCAAAAATCTAAGAAAGAATTCTCATCTCTGCTGCTGCTAGACCTGGTGCAGACAAGCAGGAAGAGAAGACCTCTCTGGTGAGGGGCAGCCCCTGAGCGCCAGGCACTCTCCCGGCCATGTTCGCCAGCATACCCGTCCGCGTTTCTTTCGTTCAGGAGAGCAGCGGCTTCTATGTGTCTTTTCCTCTGCTCTTCCTGCCGCCTTAGCTTTTCTTGAGTCTTCAAGAAGATCAACAAGAAACAGATGTACTGAGGTCACTGAGTCAGCCTTTCCTCCTCTCTCCCATTTTACTTTTACTCTAATTCACAGACATTATCTTTTGATTCCTGCCCCTCAAATTACCCAACATGTAATTGGGTATATATTTCTCATCTCTTAAATTTCTATAACATACTAGAATGTATTATCAAACGTCCTAGATATCTTCTCAAGATACAACCCATTTTAGCTGCCTCAATGTAAAACAAACAGTACTGTAAGTATCATATGCCATCAATATAGAATATAAACATACTAAAATTATCATTTTAGTTGATATCTATGACAAGTTTCATAATTATATAGTTTAGTTGATATACCACCAAGTGTCAACATATGTGAAATTAAATTTGTGAAAGTTAAAAAGTCAATTTTACATTTAAATCAAATGCATTCAGTTTTATTTACACACACACACACACACACACACACACATATATACATATATATATATATATACTGGTGAAAACATTTCAACAATATTTATCAACACGGACTAACGTAGTTAGTTGTTTACCAGTATGTAAAAACATGCAAAAATTCCCAAGTATTATAAAGGTATCATGAAACGACCTATATAATGAATGGTCGGTTAAAGATACACACACACACACACACACTCACTCTCTCTTACACTTTCTCTCTCCAAATATTTTATTTCTTTTTTTTTCCAAATATTTTCTTTCTTAGACACAAATACTCTCTCCCCCCAACTATTTGGCTATTTCTTAGGGAATGCCATTCCAAGGACAAATCAACTGAGGACCTGACAGGAATATTATGAGGTAGCAGGGGCTGTGACATTCTTACATAATCTTTTTTGTTTCCTTTCTCTTTCGGTTCCTTGTAGTCTGGATCCTCAGGAACAATTTCCATTGTTTCCTGTTCCTCTGGGAGCGTGCTCTCGGGCGCTTCTGCCACACTGTCTTCATTCTGTTCAGAGGTCTGTTTTCCCTCAACTATGCCATTACTTTCTTCAACTGAAGCACCGTCTTTCGGCTCTGAAGACAACATCTCAGATGAAAAGGTCCCATTGAGAAGACTGTCCACTTTGTTGAGGGGGAATTCATAAAGACCGTTGAGGAAAGATTTAGGAAATCCAAAACATGCTGTTGCCGCCCGAACAGGTCCACCTCCAGGATACAGCTGAATAATGGAGCCAAAACCTTAACAGACAGAAGAAACAAGCGTCTGCACAATGGATAAGTCTCTAGACTCCGTCTGCACAGCAAGTTCCCTACAGAGAATTGCAAGTCTGTCTTTTTCTTTTTTTTTTTAAAAAAAAGAGACTGAAGGATAATGCAGACTCCTTTGTTTGGTGGGGTCCTCAGTGAAGATAATATAATCCCCTAAGAGGTAAATAAGGAGTCTGAAGGAAGTCTACTTCGAGTTGACAATACACCCATTCCTGACTTACTGACATGGTTACATTCTAAAGACCAAACTGGAATGCAAAAATTGGTATTATGGAAAAATGAAGAATGACCACATCGGATCACAAAATGAGGAATGATGGTGATACATAACTACCAACATGTATTGTTACGTAATAGCCAAACCCTTGAGATTCACGACCCAGCTCAGGTGACCACCAACCCTCACAGCCAGCATTACTATTGCCTCACATCTCAGCGTTTACTACCATCAGGCATTTGCTGTCAGTATGCAATATAAATATATACACATACACTCATGTACACATATATGCAAATATATATACACACGTATCTATTTCTTATATAAAAATATGTATTTCTACTATAATCATACATGCAAAACATCAGATAACAACATAAGTAAGGAGTAGATGTACTATAAAAACCTGATCATGTTTTTCTTCTGTGGGGTCAGGGAAGAAAAAGCCAACTCCTCTCAGGGAAATGATTTTTCTGCCTAATTCTCTCAATTCAGACCAATAACATGTGCACAATCTACCCAAGAGACTATGCAGACCTAGGCAGCCCCAGGTTCCAGGATCAATGTCATTGATACTGAGGCCAGACAGGGCAGCTACCAACAGGGATGTGAACAGGGCAGGAAGGACCCAGGGCCAGGAACTCTGTGGGTTCACTCAGCTCATTTCATCAGTTTTGCAGCAACTCTAACCCTATTTTTTAAAAAGATTAAATTCTTTAGACTTTGCAGTTCTATGGGGGTTGGGGAGTCTTTCCTAAACTTGGAAATGCTAAGTCTCACCTCCCATTCGTTCCATCATTGCACCCAGCACCAAGCCCGCACATGTCTCCATTACAATCATTTTATTGCCAGCGTGGATATTCCCCAGCGTCAACATCTGGGCGAGTGTATCGTACCTCATGTGGCTGAGAGACAAGAATGAGTCGTTTATTTTCAGCTAAGCAAAGTCTAGTCTTTCAGTCATCATTTTTCAAGTTTTGCTTGTCTGTTCAACAAACATTACAGTGATGAGATTATCAATTGCTTCGGGAATGACAATAAAAGTACTGCAAATTTACAATATAGGAGGGCACTTGATGCAGGTAAGCAAATTCACAGAACATTTAAAACCAAGATTTTCTTAAAGATCTCTTTCCCCCAATTATATTTTTGAAAGGAAATAAAGCGTACTTAATTTTCCCAGGTTCTCGTGCGTAATACATAACTGAAAGAATTCGGGTGGATGGCTTCACCACTGTAATGACAGCTTCGTATCTACAGGAAGGAAAAAGACAATACCAGTTCCAGTTTGTAACAAAACTGGTTAACAGTATTTGGTAACAGTTTTCATCCTTTCCACGCATAAGCTACTTACTTCTTTTTCTTCTTTTTAATATATTTATCTTGAGAAAATTCTGTCTTGTCTCGGAATGTTGTGCTATTTTCAATTAGCTGCTGAACTATTTCCTACAGGCAAAGATTCAAGCAGATTTTGAAACCACTTTGACACAACAAATAACTGCAAATGTTTTTAATGTGAAAATGTACTCAATGTTTTAGGGGGTTTCTTATACCTTTTTTTCCAAAGACGTACAAAAAGACATAGTTTCTAACTCTATATTTGAATATTTGTATTAAACCAAAATAAAAGAACAGAGATACACCAAAAAAGAGACAGATAGGTAGAGGAAACTCCTATTCTTGAAGACATTGGATAATAGAACAGTAATAAACAGTGATGATGTTCTGATGAGTGCTAAGTTATTAAATTCTCTACAACCAACATCAGTGGTGTCATTCACTTACATTCTAGCACATTCGAGACAAGATCACTGACACACCTAATAGCATGTGCACATTAACACACTCCTAACACAACTATAACATTATTTTTACATTTTACCTTAAATTTCTGCTTTAAAAGAAATTAAGCAATTTCCTTAATATATAAACAAAACAGAAAATTCTTTGGATGTTACCTCTCCTTTAATGCCCTTGTCCTTCAATGCTTTTATGTCATCTTGAGTAAGTTTCTGAGATTTCCCATCATCAATTATATTTCGATTATCAATACCTGCTTCTTTAGTCTCTGTGGAAGAAAACTGCTCTATGATATGTACAATCTGAAATCACTTTGTAATCTTCTACATCCATATTCACATGCAACCCTCAGCCTCACAAATGTGCCCTTCCAGCACCACTATCCCCACCCTGGGTAACTAGTCTGTTGTCACTACTATTCTCACTCTTTTTTTCCTGCCCCCGCTGGAGTTCTGTTGATATAAATGCAGACGAGGTCACCTATCCTGTCCATAAAATGACACAGCAATGAGAATATGTTCCAAACACACAATACAAAGCTGTAGCTGACCCAGCCCATCGACCTTTACTGGCTTTTGTCTCCCGACCCTGAGGCTTCAGCCACTTTTTCCGGCTCTGGTCTGAACACATCAAGTTTGGTCTTACAGCGCAGCTTTAGTCCTTGCCGCTGCCACTGCCTGGAACACTCTCGCAGATTCCTGGAGGGATGTACTCAACATCTTGGCAAAGTCTCACTCAAGCGATCAGGACCCAGCACACTTGCCTGATTCATTATCTCCCCAGTATATAGCGTTATCTGAAATTAATCCTCTGTGCGTGTCTAGCTGATGGTTTTCATTCTTCCCTACTGCTAAGTAAATTTATGAGACTGTCTGACTTATGAACTGCTATAATCTCAGTGCCTAATCATGCCGAGCACAACTTTGAAGCATAATAAAAAATCTAAACATTCATAAAATATATACAAACAGACAACAAAATATATAACTTTAATATATTTTAATGAAAAATACGAGCTACAATTTTGAGGCCTTTATATATGCCCTTATAAGGAGCCCTGGCAGTGCAATACCTACATGTCAGGATGCAAACCCAAAGATTAGTGGTCCGAACTTACCAACTACTTCCGGGAAGATGGGCAGTCTCTTCCTATAAAGATTTACAGCCTCAGAAGCCTGGTAGAGGGTCACTATGAGTCAAACTCAATTTGCTAACATTAGGGGGTTTTTTAGAAGTTATACATACAAAGCACTAACTCAAGTATTAAGTTATTTATAATCCCATTCCACAGAGGAGGCTTTAATGCTTCGTGAAACCCAGTAACTTATTTAGGATCATAGGAAAATGATAAAGCAGAACTAAAATTTAGCCAGCTGGACTCAAAGTCAGACCTCTGAATTCCACTACTACACGCTAACTAGTGTGCAGCTGTTACTTATCATCTGGGCACCAAACTGCTCTTGTGATGAAGCTACAGCAAGGAATCAGGGGATTAAATACCTACCTCAAGGCCAGAGAGCCAATTAATGGTGAGATGGAGCCAGGTGTAGGTCTTTAATTGCCCAAAAACTTATAAAGTTATAGTTCTTAGACTATGGGTTGAGATTTCTTTTGGGATTTCCCAAACAAGCAACTAGACCGATGTGCTTGCTGTGCTTCTGACTAGCCAGTTCAAGAACATCTATTTCAAACACCAGGAGCAGCTCACCTGAAGTAGGCTCTTCCTTCCTCTTCTTAGGCTGGAGACTTCCTCCACTGCTCACTTCAAATGTGGTTCCATAGCTATGGCCAATGACATTATCCAGATAGAACCACTGTTTCTCAAAAGTTACTTTTCTGAGGGAAGAAAAAGCATTCTGTATAGAAAAGAGGTATTTATGCCAATGTGACTTTATCCCCCCCTAAACTATGATGTCAGTCTGGAGACTAAGGTGTGCCTGATCCAGGCCATGGTCAATTATTTGCTATCCATCCCAAAAGCTGGACAATGACTAGCGAGAACAGAAGGAGAATCAATGCCTTCGAGCTGTGGTGCTGGAGAAGAAAACTGAATATACCACGGACTGCTAGGAGAACAAACAAGTTCATCCTAGAGAGGGTGAGACCAGGCTGCTCCTTGGAGGCAAGGATTCTGAAGCTTCCTCTGGCATACTTTGGACATGTTGCAAGGAGGGAACAGTCCTTGGAGAGGGACATCATGCTTTGGAGGGTGGAGGGACAGCGCAGGAGGGGGAGACCTTTGACGAGATGGATCGATTCAGTGACTGTGGTAATGGGGATAAGCATGTCAGAGATGATGAGGTTGGCTCAGGATACAGCAGGGTTCAGAGCTGTTGTACTCAGGATTGCTATGAATTGCAAGTGACTTGACGGCACATAACAACAACAAACAACAATCTGTACAAAAGATGATCAGCAGCATTCCCTCTTAATACAAACTAGTAAGTAAACTAGAGAAATAGGTTGGGGCACAGACATGAAAATGAATCAGTGAGTCACAAAAACAGATCTTTCTCTTCAAAAGCATGGGAATGACCCTGCTTTGCACTGTCTGACAGGCTATCTAAACTCACTGGCTCTCTAACTTCTTGTCACTAAGATCGCCAGGACAATGGACAAACCCTTGGGACACACTTTGAAATTTGCACAAGAGAGTCTCAAAAGTAAATCATAAGATGCAGAGTTAACAAACTCCTTGGTTTAATCATCTTTCAAAAAAAGGAAAAGCAAATAAAAACAAATTATATTTATTAACAAATGTTACAGACAATCTACATATTTGAAAATGCTATATACTGACATTATAATAAAGATGAGGCATCATTATGAAGATTTTAAAAAATTTTATTGCAATTTAAGAGCTAAATCTGATGAAAACAAGCCTATCCTTTCAAAAGAAGAAAACAATATTCATTGAGTGTCAACCAGGGGAAAAAGTGTGTGTAACATCTACATTTCACACGTTCTAATTTAACTTTCACACTGGGATATAGCTATTTCCTGATAACCTATCAATGGCTCAGAGAGAAGTACCTTGCCTAAAAGTCATAATTACTCCAAAGCCTGGCTCTTCTCATCATCCCACACAATCTATTCTAGTGAAGATGGAGGCCTTAATTCCACTCTGCTCAGATATGCAGCCCTTACAGTACAATGTTCAAGATTCCCACAAGAGATGTGCTATGAGTAGTTGCCAATCAGTTGAAAGGGAGTGTGGTCTATACTGCAGACACGCATGTAGAAACCTGGCAAAATTTGCTTGCTTTTTCCTCAATCTAGATTCTGCACCTGATCTATCACCTGCAGACCTTGGATTCATTAGCCTCCATACGAGAAGCCTACCCCTCTTTCTCTCTCTCTCTCTCCCCACACACACACACACACACACACACACAC